GGCGAACATCTTTGGTGTGACGGGGATTCGAACCCCCACCCCCACTCGCAGATCACGAGTCGAGCGCCCTAACCACCTGGCCATGCCGGGCCTTTTGGTTTTATTTACTCTTGAAACAGGATACTTTCGGGGACCCTGTGGAAGTACATCTTGATTTTACTCGAGTATAATTTCTTACCACCCTGTAAATAAATGTATGTACATACACAAACACTCAATATAAGTCTTTCAAAAAATGTGGTGCATATTGGAGGGATTTAAACATTTTGTTTTTGTAACCAATCATCAAACATTTTGTGATTCTCTGTATTTTTATATTTTATATAACTAATATATGCCATATGTTATATAGCTATATAGTTAATCTCATAACTATACTATAATAATGATAGTGGAACAATAATAATAGTTTATACATTGTTAAAGGCGCGTTACGGCACACTCGAGAAATAGAACATCTGATAGGTATTTTTATAATTTAAGGAACATTGTAATATCAAACAGTTTTATGTACTAACCCTTAAGAAGCCGCAAAGTCGAAACGTTGGTTAAAATAAAAGTTCTCTTTTAATTACCTGGAGTGTAAAGGTGTTTTTTTCTTCTTTTATCAAACTCACTATAAGTGCTAAAAAGAAATGTTAAGTTTTATCCATCCAAATTTGTGACAGATCTCAGACGACATGAAAGTAGCTTAAGATAACAAGCATTGTGATTTTGATTCACAGAATAACCCACTTTTTCATATTACAATAAAATGATTTTAAAGTTCCTATAAACATAGTCCCCCGGTGGAGCAGCAGTAAGTTTGAGGGCTTATAATGCTAAAAGCTGTTTTTGATAGTGGTAATGGGCAAAGCTATTGTGTAGCTTTGCGCTTAAAAAACAAACAAACAAACTATACGCATCATTTTCTGTTATATAAACAAATATTTTTAATAAATTTTCTTAGAATGACAGGTGCTTATGGTCCTCACCCTCAAAAACAAAACTAAGAACAAATACGAATAATTATTATTCGTGCAACTTAAAAAGTCATTTGAATTCAAGCATGTAAAACGGATAACTTTAATAAATTTCCAGATGTTTGATATATTTATTTGGTATCCCTTAATGTTGTATTATGGGTAAAGCATCTCAAATAATTTCTAAACCTAAGAACCTCAGCAACAGAGCCGTGCAGCCAGCCCCCCAGTGGCTCAGGGGTAAATCTGAGAGCTCATATCGTTAATAAACAGGTTTGAAACTTGTGATAGGCAAAGCACAGATCGCCCATCATGTATCTTTGTGCTTGATAACAAACAAACAAAAAACAAAATGGTACATCCGATAATCCAGAAACAACTTGATGAAACTTAGTTGAATGGACGGCAACTGCTTGTTGTAGAAACACAAGTGTAGAGGATGACGTTTCGAAAGTCTCCCGCCTTTCGTCTTCAGGCGGAAGACTATCGAAGCGTCGTCTTCTACACTTGTGTTTCAACAACAGGCAGTTGCCGTCCATTCAACTAAGTTTTATTATGAATACTCTGCCTAAACAATCTATCAAAGAATACAGAAACAGCATATCTTTCGGCTGTGATACACTAGTCTATATTCACGTTTTTAAAATGAGCTTTGTTTTTGTTTTTAGTTTTTTATACATAACATTGTCTAAATAAATTGTATAATATAATTTACTGGTATTACATTTAACAAATACATTAAGTAAAGTTACAGTTATGCAAATTGTAGATAACAACATCAATATTCAATACATTTTAATAGTATTTTATCGGTTAAGAGGGCGCTGTACACGGATAGAGTTATCAATTTCATGATCGTGAAAATAGATAAGAAAGTTGACAGACGAGTTTATATGTACTACTGAAGTGAAATTCACGTATGACCATGATATTTACTAGTCTTAAGTAGCCTAAGCACTTTTTGTAAACACATTATCCTAAATAGTTGTGCTTATGCCCCATCATTTTTTCGCAGGTAGGTCCTTCCGATCAATCATACTTCCCCAGATTCAGTTGCACAAGTTTGGAGAATCAAAGACTACTTTTAAAATACTATTAAAGTATTATTATCTAGCACTATCACTGTACCAGCAGTTTCTTGACAGTTTCTGTATCTCGCAAGACTTGCTATATAATCTGCATAGAGGGGTAGCCTGTATGTTGCATTGAAATTTGTAATATCACGATACTGATTTGATTCACTGATACATCTTATCCAATTTAATTTTCACATTTAAACGTTACTTAAGGCACCATTATTATGAGAGCTTTACAAAAGTAAAGATTTACTGCATCTACTCGGCTATGAAAATGATTATTTCAGGGAGATAAAGTGTCGGTACACATCTAAATCATATGATATTTTGTGTGCTGAATTGGTGTCCTGCTCAGCAACAGTGAAAAGTATTGATCATTTGATGTAAATGTCTTAGGAGTTGGAAATTTATGATCTTTACCTAGTATTCAGTAAAACCTACTAGAATTTGTAAAGAGAAGTGAAAAGGAAAAATTCGAAAAAATGGCTGATCTAGAAGCTGTTCTGGCAGATGTTAGCTACCTCATGGCTATGGAAAAGAGTAAATCTACCCCAGCAGCAAGAGCAAGCAAAAGAATTATTTTACCAGATCCAAGGTAAGGCTATGCATAATACATTTATTAAAAGAACTTTCAAGTCTATAACACAGTAGTTACCTTTTTTTAAAAAAAATATATTGGTTTTAATTTTCTGTCACAGTAGTATCAGATTTGTCATTTCATAACTTGGATTTTTTTGTGTGATCATTATCATATTCATGTATGACTTAACATGAGTTTTGTAATATATAAACTATAATTTCTGCGTGAAATTTGTTGCATAGATATGTAAATTTCATCGTATATAATTTTTTTTCATAGAATATAAAGAAATATAAATGTAACTAAGTTGGCTTGAATGACTTTTGGTTAATAACGAAATGTTCAAGAATATGTAAGGAGGCTTTACAAAAACTCAGCACTGTACTGTATTTGATCTAACACAAGTGTACTTTGTTCTTGTATCAGAAATATGCATTTATATTTTCTGCAAATGTCTATAAGCTAGTAAACTGAATTGTTGTAGTTGTGATATATATTTCACTTATATATATATATATATATATATATATATATATATATATGTGTGTGTGTGAGTGTGTATATATATGTATAAGATATGCATCTTTCTAGCAGTCTTGAAACCAATAAAAGTTGAAAAGCAAAAAGCAATGATTTGAAATGTAAAGTTAGTGTTTCAAAATGTTTTTCAGATATCTAAATAGCTTGTATTTTTTTAGCTTTTTTTAGGTGAACTGCAAATATAGAACTCAATTTCCTAATCAAACTGGTTAAAAACAGTGTTAAAGTTTTTGACATTTAATTTGCAGGAGTTTAAAGATATTGTGTATTGCCAATGATAATTTAAATGTTGCAGTTTTGACTTCTACTTTCAAAAGAGTATTACATTTAGTTGGGATTCTGCCAAATTCATATGCAGACAGATGTTTCTTATGTGTTGTTATTATTCTGCCAAATTCATATGCAGACAGATGTTTCTTATGTGTTGTTATTAAAGTATTATGTGGATAAGCATCTTGAAGATTTGAATTAAATTAAGCATGATTAATACAGTTTTAGAAGTGTTTTGTACTTCAATACTATGTTTAAACTTTTTTGCAATATATGAGTTTTAATGCATGAGGGCACTCTTATAGATACCATTAGAGCTTTCAAATAATGTACTTTTAATTGTAAGTGTATATAAAAGTGATATAAATTTATATCATAAAAGTAAAACTATATGCACTGATGAGTTTTTGAAGTTCAGATGTTAACTATGTGATGCTTATCAATATTAGATATTGTTTCATTTATTAGTTTTGTTTTAAATGTAACTGAACAATTTTCAGCTGGAGTTTTTAGAAATTGCCAAAGATTTCAGTTAATTTATGCACAACTATTGATAACTGTATGTAGCAGTTGTACCATCATTTAAGTAATGTATTTGCAAGAGAAGTTGTGCACATAGATGTGGTCAACTTATGTAGTTCTGAGTAGAGCTGGATGATTAAGTTGATTAATTGATATAGTTCATTTTCTATGAGATGTGATGCAGTCTTGCAGGGTTGTGAGGAAACAACCAACCTCTCACTTCATTTTTATTGTAATATGGAATGGTGTAAGTAAAATGAAGTTTTTATCATTAGCTGAAATCTCTCTGACTTTGCTTATGCTGTTACTTTACAATAATATACCTAAAGAAATGATTTTCTTAATTTTTTATTGATTAGTAAACATGGTAGTTTGATAATTAGCTGTTCTTTTGGGAGGGGAGTAAAGGAGTTCATGGCAACTTCTTAATTCTAAATGTAACGCTACATCACTGCCTTAAGAATCGATTACATCAGTTAGTGTCATATCAAATAACCAATTAATCAAAATTATAATTAAATTGATTAATGCCACAAAAATAATTAATTAATCAAATTAGTATCTTTGATTATTTCAACTCTCCAAGACTTTTGAGAATAGTTGATTAGTTGCATGAGTCCAATTATTAATCAGTTATCATATTCCACCAGTTGTCCAGCTCTAGTCATGAATATGCATAGTATGGTGGTCCTTATTGTCAGGTAAAATTGCAGGTTAAAATTCTAAAGCTGTCATTCTCTAATTTAGTTCTAATGTACAAAAAACATTAAATGTCAAATTTCATCCATTTTGGATCATTTTTAGAGGATGCTCAATGAAGTTGAAGTTCTAGACTGTGGTGGCCCGATATCATATGCACTATGTGATATAAGAATATATTTGTTATGTATTATAAATGATTTGTAAAGTATATTATTATTATATTGCATGTACAATTGTATAATTATATAATTTTGGTGAGATTAATTTTTTGTATTGTTATTGTTTTGTTTTTGCTGTCAGAAAAGCATTTTCAATGATCCTGCACAATTTGAAGGAAGAATTGTTACTGTTCATCCTTTTTTGTTACGATGGCATTATACTCCTCAATAAGGGTTACACCCCTTTCAGCATTGTCATTTACCACATTCAACTGATGAACTGTCTGTAGTGCCCCCTGTAGTCCTCTCTGAGTTCTCATTATTTGGTGTCATAATCCAGAAATAAGATGGAATTTTGAGGCACCTGAAGAAGTCTTTTTTTAATTAACATGCATTCAGATTTCCTGATATTCAACTGGATGGACTTTGGAGGCTCATCCATGCTTTTTCTTCTCATTCAGTGCCTTTACCATTGTTCCTGCACATCATGACCAAGGCTGTGATTTGTGGCAGTAAGAACAAAATTTGCCTTTCTGTCACTCAATTTGGTTCTGTCCACAGCTGCTGCTAAATCAAGAGTAATGATACTTCTTCTTGCCCTTTTTTTTAGGTTTAGAAGATGATGATCCTCCAACTGCTCTTCTTTTCCAGTCACTGTTACTGGTACTGTATCCATCAACCTCATCATCTTGCTGTGGGATGATTCTCAACTACTGAGAGTTTCATTCAAGATCTGCTATTCCTGTTCCATACCTGTCTCACTTCTTTTCTCATACCTTGATTCTTTAAAGAAAGAACCTTATCTACCTGTACCTGACCCATGCACCCATAATGTCCTCTTTCCCTCTAAGCAAAAAGAAAGTCCTTGTCTTCTTTGATCTTGACCAGGGTCAGGGCATCACTAAGAGTGATGTCAAAAAGGTCATTCAGATTATTAACAATCTGTTTCATTAGCTTGCTGTGTTTCAGTTTCCTTTTTTTAGTTGCATGAAGTCCTGGACAAATTGGAATTCAAATCTTGTCCCAAAAAAAATTCAGCCTCCTTGATCACAATCTTTGAGCTTTAATATTTTGTTATAGTAGACAAACATACATAGTAGTTGCCTATTTGAAGGTAATTTGCTTCCTGTCAGTACAGTTTCTCTTGAACCAAAGAGCTAAAGTGTAGTTTTACTTCTTGTTGAAGTATCCATTTGCATTGATGTGCCAATACAGTGTCAGCTGAAATGATACAAAAGGAACTGCTAAAGTGCTTAAATACCCTCACAGAAATTCTAGAAACTACTGTCACATCATACAGAATATTCCAGAAGTAAAAAGTGACAACATAGATTATTTATATTGGAATGTTCTTGAAAATTTTGAATAATGTGGAATACCCTAGACTATTCCAGAATATGCTACAATATTTCAGAATGTGCTAGAATATTATTGCACAATAATGTATAACCTTCCAGAATCAATCTATCAAAGAAAACCTTCCAGAATTATTCACAATATTCTAGAATATGCAGATATAATGAGAGTTACAGGGTATAATTTGAATTATCTTGAGCAATCCCTAAATGCTATTCAGTATGGACAAAATTTGATGGAATTATTTATATACTGGAACAAAATGAGGGAATGAGAGTGTTGTAAATCAAAACTTCAAAAATAAGGAAAACTATAATGCACAACAATTAGATTGTTATAAAAACATACAGTAAGAATAAGCAAAGAGATAAAGATTAATTAACCCATTAATGTTACTCATTCAACTACCAGAACAAAGAACTAAACCAAACCAGAAAAAGTTCAGACACATTCAGCATACACTTCATTCTGAGATAAACAATTCCAAAAGCTTATACATTAACAGAGAAGTAATTCTGCTGAAGGAAAATGTTTATACTTGTTATCCATAATACTCAAATTCTAAGTTTCTTCATTGACATGCTGCCATTCAAACAGATCTATACAAATTTTATCTCAATAACATTCTTACTCTCTAAATTCAAAATGTCTAAAAATTCTTTTAGTTTGTTTTGTCATAGCCAAACCCTTTCTCAATCATGTATCAGTAATGATATAAGTGTAACCTAATTCATTTCTTTCTCTTTAACACCAATGCTTTTCTTTCAAAAGGAGTGATTTTTCTCAAAATTGTAAGCCTTTTTCCATAACTTAAGTGACATAAACCAGATGTTGCTCTAGTAGCTTCTCTGTGCACTAATTCTTCTAAGTTGTTATAATTTATTTAATAAAACAATTCAAACTGAAAAAAACAATCCAACTCCCAGTTGAGTCCTCTTCAGTGTCTTATTCTGTACATGTACAAGGCTGCAATAATCTTTTTGTTTTTGAGCTTAAAATGTTTATAATTAGAGCCAAGTTCTCTGTTTGCTCTTTCTACCACAGCTTCTCTTACAGAAGTGAGTCCTTTCCAACTTTGTATAGCTTGTATAGGTAACTTTAAAATTATCAATATTTAAAAAATAAATGATTTTTCTACATTCTTGCCATATCACTTTGACTGTCAAAATTGTATTAAATAAGAGAAACATATTTTATAAGGTCAGAATTTCTTATTGTCTTACATGTAATCAGTCAGCTTTATCTTTTCATTACATGTAACATTACTTGTACCATCACTTATTTAAGACATGTTAGTCTGAGAAGGTAGCCAAGTCATTGACATAAAAATGATCAACAGAAGTCCTAAAACAAATCCCTGAAGCATTCCTGTACATGAAATTGCATTTCATGTTTTGAATAATCCATTATTTGCTTTCTGATACTAAGTAAATTTTCAATCCACTTTTTAACTTTCATACTCGTTCC